GGGGGGGATAATTTTTCAACGCAATTTCAAACATTAATATGGTAATGAGGAATAGTCTTAATTGGGAGGACTGAAAGCTGATGGATGGTATCTATCAACATGAAAATTATTATTTCAGCAACAATTACCTGCATGGACATTAGCAAATGGTTGAATTTGTATTTTTGTTTCATACTCTTCAAATATAACGCTCAAGAGAAAACAAATATTTTATCAGGTTTATTTTGTAGTCTGGGCCCGCCTAACCAGAGTAGGTTGTTATAATTGGTGGGATAGTGTCGAATGATAATTAAAGATAAACTATTGTTAATGCATATGTTTTTCTATTTCACTGTTATGTTTGTTTTCGAACGTTTAATCCATGTTTTCGGAGAAATATTATTTAATCTCGTTTCTTTCTATGCCAAATCATTAGGTGTAAGTCATCAAATAAGTCATTAAAAGACTTAATTCAACATTGGGAACCTGATATTTTAGGAGTTTTAGGTCGTCTTTGCAGTCTCATTCATTGTGGGATGGACCTGTATCATACTTTGAGGGCTGGAAAATGATTAATTATGCACAAGGGAAGTTTTACAGGGGGAAAGCTTGTCGGTCGAATGCCGTGGTGGGGGGGGGGGTATATGCACATTCTTATGGTAAGCTAAAGCTTACTGCAAAAATGCAAAAACTCTGGAATTTGAGATGAAGATACGCAAAATTGCTGTTGCCTGCATTTCTTTAGTAAATTAATTAGATTTACATTTGAAAAAGACAGTATTTTGAGGAAATATAATTCAGTCTTAATGCTAGTTCCAAATCTTGAAAGCATTGCTTTGCTGTAATAATCTGTGTCGAGTTTGTTTGTCAAAATATCAGGTGAAATTTTTTAGGATGCTATTATCGTGAATATTCTTTAAATAATTATGGACAAAAATTACCTTTTATAATTTATATAGCTAAATATTTTACCTATTATATATATTATATAAACATTTCCGAATTGTTCTCCAATTAGAAATCACTAACATATGGCTTCGATGAATTAAAATATTTGGTCGTCAATTTTGAACTTTTGCTTTCAAATTAAAACTTTTGGGCAAATTAAGTCGATTCTTATTTTTTATGTTGAATTCTGGAAAGTACATAAGACTGAATGAAATTGTCACTGTTCACCAAATAGACCGCCAGGTTAAAAGTCGTGTCACAAGATTAGAATTAATTTTGGTGTATTAAAAATGGTTAAGGGAATCTTGTACATATCTTTTTCAAATCAAAAAGTCCGTGTGACATATAGAATAATGACTTGTGTAAATAAAATATTTCCAGTAAAAACCGAAACTTTTTGTTTTGCAGCTGTTATTTTATTTATTTCATTTATCATTTATGCAGCTTTTTATGCTTTTCAATTCTTGTATAGAGTGACTATAAATTAATAATGAAAGGGGGTACAGAACGAAACCTGAATCTTAGGCGTTAAAAAATACATTTAAGACATCTATCTGATGTTTCTGTCTCGAGAAATTGATAAAAAAAACTGTCCCTTAAATATCTTTTCGAATGAAGGAAGTAAGTGCCGGGCACCTTTATTATCAACTGGCATTTCCGATTGACAACAATACCTTCAACACTTATATAAATTAGATAATCAGATTTATCTCGCCAAAATTTGAATTGTGGTTTCTACGTAAAAATATCTTGCGGATTTTTTAATTCAACACTTCTGAGATAGAAAACGAATATATCTTTTCTATAAGATAAGTCAATACAACTAAATATAAATTTCACATAAAATTTTCAAATATAAATTTTTTCTTGCAACTCACATACCCCATGTTATTTTAGTAGGTTTATATTAGAAAGAAATATTTTAATATTTTTTTTTCAAAAAAAACATTTGTATCGCAGTCAAGTTTTGATTTTTTAATTACTTCTCCAAAATTTAAATTTTTATTTAATTTAGGTTGTGTGGAACTGTGTTGGATCAAGAACTCCAGACTGACAGATCAGCTCTTGTATCTTCCATCTGGTTTATGCTCCTGGAAAAGAAGCTTCCCATCACCGTTGTCCACTTCAATGCTCTGCTCCGGGTACACCTGGAGAACAAACACAGGTTCAATCCGGACTCGATCCTAGAGGAGATGAAAACCCACCAGGTGGAGCCGGACAAGGAAACCTATCAGTGCTTTATCTCCTCCTACTGTCAGGAGGGAAATATAGACGGAGCTAGCCGGATCCTGCAGACAATGAAGCTCAAGGGGTTCAAGGTCAACGAGAACATCTTCAACTCCCTCATCATCGGGCATAGTGAGAACGGGGACATGGCCAGGTCCCAGGGGATTCTCAAGGTGATGAGACAGTGGGGGTTAACTCCGTCCACTGAGACATATCTCACCCTAGCTTGTGCCTTCGCTAAGCATGGAGATATCTCCTCCATGGAGAAGATTATCACCGAGTGCGGTAACCAGGGACTCGGAGGATTCAAGGACGGAGATTATCTTGAACTCCTGTTTGTTCTGTGTGAGAATAAGCACCAGGATCAGGTTGGGTGTATGCTGATGAACCTGCACCCGGAGTCAGAGGAGTTTGGATACCTCTCAAGTCATATGGTGGTCAGATTGGTGAATGCAGGGCACGATGATGTTGCATACAACCTTGTACAGTTTACTGTAGAGAATAGTGTGGAGGAGTCAGGACGGATGATAAGTTCCGAGTTCTTGAATCAACTGGTGAGAACGAACACGTCGGTTTCAAAGTTACTCTGGTTCTTGAAGGATATGTCTGAACGAAAGATACAGACCGGAGGACTTGAAACTCTGATAGACCTGGCGATAAAGAACAAGAACTCTGCACTAACTATGAAACTAGCAGACATTCTTGTGTCTGATGGAGGCAAGATTACTAAAAAGCAGTTTAAAAACATGCTGACCTTAGCTCGCAAGAGTAGTGATAAAGATGCATCCGAAATTATGTTAAGCTGTGTTAAAATTGGCAGCGTTTCAAAACACATGACCCCGGAAATTTTAAAGAAGCATGTATTTTCACAATTAGACACATGGCCTGAACTAACCATAGCCCAGCTAGAAGACTATGGCTTAGAACGGGATCAGACTGTTACCCCAATGATTGAATACTTAATCGGCCGTGGGGAGACAGAATCGGCGGCTACTGTTGCCGGAATATTTTCCGAGCATGTGGATTCTAAACTGAAGTTCCTGACAAGCGCTACTTCTGGAGTGAGATCGGTTTGTAACCATTTCAGCGGAGATGTTGCTCCTCTGGAGATAGTTCCTGAGAAGAAAGATGAGTTAGTTGTGTGTATGGCTGATCAACTCATGACTGATGATAAGATTGAAGATCTTGAACTAATGCTAGACACAAGGGAAAGTGTAAAGGATAGAGAAGTTATATATTTAAACCTTCTCAAGGTGTATGCTAAACACCAGCTTATTGACAAAGCGATTAATTTATCCAGACGTCTCCGTGAGGAACAAATCTGTGTTCCTCAGTTTTATGAAATCCTTGGCGAGCTTATTGAGAGTCAGTACACCAAAGAATCTGAACCACAACTTGACTCCCTCTCTGTTCCTCAACCCTATCATCCCTACTACAACCACATGATGCCTGTACCAACCCCTGTAGGACTCCATTACCTATCTGGAGGCGAAGCGTCCTATCAGTACTACTACCCGGTCCAGGGATTCTATCCAGGTTTCTACCAAGTCCAACAGCCCGAGGTATCTCCTACTCCTCCCTATCCAACCCATACTCCTGATCCGAGTGTTACCTCGGAGTCACCAACTCTAATGAGTGTTGGAGGAGAAAGCTATTATTCCTCTCCTGCTGATCAAACCTTCCTACACAGACAATTGAAAAGAGCTGTGAACCATGGTGAAGCGGAGAAAGGATTATCTATCTATCAAACCCTTGAAAGAACCGGAAAGGTTGTGAATGTTACTGAGACAAGTTCCTTAATAGAACAGTTGGTCCGAGCAGATCTAACTCATGAAGCAACAGAAATCACACAATCTATGCTCATGAGAAACACCCATCCTCTTCCAAAGATATTCAGGTTCCTTCTGAACAAGCTTGCTACTACAGGTGCTGTAGAGGACATCAATAATATAGGACAATATCTCTCAACCAAAATCAAGAAGGACGTGTCTTATGACAACAGACTGTGCAACGCTTATCTGAGTGCAGGACGCGGAGCTGAGTTCCTGGACCTGCTGGTCTCCGACCTGGATATGGCCGTGAGGGCGGGTGACGAGGAGATGATGAAGATGATCCAGGACAGGTTCCCCCGGGGCGGAGCCATGGGGCTCCTTGACAACCATCCCGAGCTCCTCCCCAAGTTTACAATCCTAGCCCAGGAGTTTGCCAACATGGGGTATGTTGCCCCCATGAACGTGTTGTGGACTTATCACTTCATCAACAACAACAGCGAGGTGTCGGACATCATCTGGGAGAAGTACGTCAAGTCGAGTAACCAGATCATGTTCCAGAAGGTTTGCCAGGTTGCAAGATCAACTGGAAACCTAAACCTGGCCTTTGGACTGGTCAATAAACTAGCAGATGCAGACCAGGTATTAACTCAACCCTTCTTCATACATCTTTTTTTTAAAAAGTCAGGGGTGTACGTTATTTTAAAATCATTTTCTTTTCCAAGAATTTACATATTGATCTAGTAGTCCAAAAAATATCTCTTCAATTCATTTTAATAATTTACTTTCTTCCAAATGCTTTTCCCTTATACTCTTAAAGATTAAGTTCGAACAAAGCCTTATTTTTTATGGATTAAAGTATACTCAGTTTGGTGTTTGTATTCTATTTAGGTACTAGTTCTTGAAAAAAATTCAAAATTCATAATTCATAGATATAAGCTTTCATTAATTAAAATTACAAAAAATATGTTTTTTTTTGTATTTTCCTTACTTTATATTTTCCAGCACATGAGGTGTAAATTGATGTAGGTTTTTGAGTAAGAATGGGCGTGGGGCGCTGATCATGCTGATTCATGGCATACACAGTAAACACCCCTGTAATTTTTATCTATCTGGATTTGTCCATGGATTAAAGATAATATAAGGAAACTTTCAATACCTACCCTACCCTCTCTCCAAAAAATCACCGAATTTAACACTAAACTTTATATTAAATCACAGAATTTAACGCTAAAATTTGTGTTAAATCCCCGAATTTTATAGTAAACCATGTTTAGGTTACCCCCGGGGCTCGTGGAATAGCCTACTCCTGTCTACTAGACTGTTTGTGTACTGCAGAACAACATAAACAAGGGTGGAATGTACTGCAGGTAAACAAACATTAAATGTGCAATATTAGTAGGGCAAATTAGACTTCAAAGAGATAAAAATTTAAACCACTAGTTAACGTATCTTCAAAACATGTTTGGGTATCTGATGATGTGTTGATTGTTAAACTCATTTTAGTTTTTCCAAAGTTAGTTTTTTGAATTGTTTGCAATGAGGCCCTAAAGCTCTGACAAAACTTCCTTCTTAAATATAAAATCATAATTTAACTCCAAAATTAATTCTCTTGCATTAGTGATCTAATCAAATTTACGCACAGTGCTGATCAGACAGACTCGGAATTAATTAACAAGTTATCAGACGATTTTACAATAGGATTTTGCAATATGATTTTACAATTTGATTTATAAAACGATAATCTCAAAATAGTCCTTGTACTGCCATTTCTAAATTGTGGTATGTATTTTTTGAGCGTTTGAAATTGCCAGAGTTATAAATGAAAAATCGCCTGATAAACTGTAAATTAACTCTGGGTCTTTCTGATTATGACCGTATGACAAATACACGTTACGAAATCTGACTTAATGCAAAATTTAATAAATTTCGCAAACCAATTTTAACTTATATTTATGATTTATTTCTTATTTTTAGGACGCTTTGTCCCGTGGTGTTCAGCTTGAGGACGTGAATAGGACAGCTTTGGTCCGTCTGAAGACAGGACTAGAGGGAGCAGGACATAAGTTCCCATATCAGATCCCTCCTAAAAACCCCCGTAGGGAGGAGAGAAGTCTCAGCCCCTCTGATTGGAACGAGATGTAATTCCTATTTCACAATCCCCATGGATTAGAATTGGGAAATCGCAAAATACATTTTTCAAGAGATATAATCCTTACTCTAAAATCCATAAGGGTTAGATAAGAAATTAGCAAAATACCTTTTTTAAGCAGTAAAAACATGTGGAACGAGATGTAATCAATGTAATCCCTAGGGATTTAATTGGAAATTCGAAAAATACTTTTTCAATCAGTAAAAAGAGATATTATCCTAATCCATAATTCACAATTCCTATGTATTCAATTGGAAATTCGCAAAATACATTTTTCAAGTAGTATAAAGAGATGTAATCCACAATCCCGAGAAAAACAGGACATAGATGTAATCCCTATCATAATCAAGAGACTGAATCCATATAATCCATAGAATCTATAAACGCGATTCCAGATTTTAAAAGTTTTCACATTTTCGTGATGAATCTTATTTTATCACATTATTTTCTTCTGTAAACTATTTGTTTTCAAAAAATTTATTTGTAATTTTCTATCTCGTCATTTTTAAAATTTTGGTTAAAATTTTGAGTATATCCTAGTTGAAATGTTTTGCGCTTAAAACGCAAATTGTAAATGTGTGCAATTTTTTATCATTTTTAATGAAAGTTGGGGGGGGGGGGGGGGATTTGAGGAAATTAGTCAGAAAATATCGTTAATTTGCAACAAATTGTTGCCTTATGTGTATGTAAATGTAAATAAATATTTCACAATAAATTTTTAAAATGATGTACTTTTTATTAAAAGACAAATTTTAGTTTTTAGTGGGATTGCACAGTGCACAGTGGGCCAGGGGTATTCAAAACCAGAACAATCCAACTTACATTCTAAGACCGTAGTGTTTTTTACTAAAACTGGACTATTATTGGACCATATCGTGTTTACGTATACACATGGAGAGAATTCAAAAACTGTGTTACACATTCTGTACGATAATTTTTAGGCTCTTTATGAGACAACAGGGGCGTACAAGGGGGTGAGGGCGGGCCACCCATATAAAAAAATACTTCAAAAGCTCACTTTTGCCCTTAACTAAAAAATTTTATTAAAAAGCTTTAACTATTACTGCCTTCAGTGAAAATATAACTTTGATGTCATTATTTATCATTATACAATATGCATCGTTTCTATGAAAATATAGATATTTTATAAGAAACGTTTCCATCTCTATTTTTCACCCATTGTAGCTTACACCACAATTTGTAAAGAGGACTTGTCTGATGAAAATTACATAAATAATATATTAACACTTGTTATATGGTAGCGTGTATATGATCGGAGATTGAGTAGATAAAAAAGGTATCAATATTTTTTCAAAATTCATTTATAAGGGGGGGCGGGGGCACAAATTGTGGCACCCTCCACAAATGCTCTCGTACGCTCCTGAAAGACCCATCTTGTTCCACGATATAGGAAACGGAATACAGACATTTTAGATACTTATTGGCCTAAACTTTTCTTGGTTTACAACTATTTCTTTTTGAAGAAAAGACATGCTTGAACAATTAAGGTGTTACTTATGTCATTTTTTTAAAAACACTTTAAAAAAGAAGATTTAAGCACCAAGCTCTTTCCTTGAGAGGGGGGGGGGTAAGAGGAAAAGTGAACCTACGCGTCAGAAAATTTTCTAAAATAAGAGTGGGGTTTCTTTAAGGGTTTCAACTTAAAAGACAATAAACAGAAATTGTAGGTTTGGCTCACAATTACAATTTCTTCTCATGGTCGTCCATTGGTTATATTGATTTTAGCTAAATGCTGAAACAGAAAAAAACGAGGGAATCGTTTAGATTTTGATGTTTTAGACGTTTTTATTTTTCAGCTATAGAAAAAAATGTTAATGATCAAGCTACAGGGTGGGAATATGATATAGAGACTCCCAGATTCTCGTTATAAACCCCATAAATTCATTGGAGACCCCATATTTTCGATGGAGACCCCCATATATTCGTTGGAGACCCCCATATTTTCATTGGAGTCTCCCAGATTCTCATTGGAAGTCACCTGTATTTTTATTATGACACGTCTAATGTGGGTCTCCAACGAAAATAGTGTGGTTTCTAAATGAAAATATGGGGGTCTCCAATGAAAGGTGGTCTTTAATAGTACTCCTTTGATGAAGATTTTGCCCAGACTCTTTTGTTGCAAGGTTCATGATTTAAGCTGAACACTTTTTGGCGTACGAGGGGGGGCCGAGCCCCCGGGCCCCCCCACGCGTGCCCCCTCCTGAGGGGGGAGCTCTGTTAATATTACATCTGCTTGCATTTCCCTTCCTCAAGAAATCTTCATTCTACATTGCATTGCATTGCACTCATCCATTAACTAAAAGATTAAGAAAATAAATAAAATATATTCTGATTCACAACAATACCCTTTAAAGCTTTGTCTGATCAAGTATTGCATTAAACATCCATGTTTCCCATTTTGAAAACTGATTATTTTTATTTGTGGTTTCTCTACAAAAGTCACTCGTGCATTTTTTGCTTCAGAAACGATGGAAAATGAAGGTTTCAAAGGAACATCGGACATGCCACTCTATAAATGGATGGTCACTTGAAATTATACTGCCTTCAGTGTAAATATGTATTTTTGATATCATAATTTACAATACAATATGATTCGATCCTGAAAATTTAGATTTTTTTAGAAATGTCTCCATCTCTATTTTTCATCCCTTGAAGCTTACACCACAGTATGAAGAGGTATTATAAAATTTGCCTCAAATCTTAGAAAAAAAGTATCAAAAATGTATTAACAGTTTATAAATCTCCCGGATATCATAATTTCATATTCTATAGAAAGTTTTCTTTTGCCTTCTTTATAAGATTTGGTAACTTTTGGTGCATATTTTTACTGATTATTTTTAGCGGACAATAACTCGATTTTATTTATCAATGGATTTTTTTTAGATTTAGGAAGGGAAACATTTTAACAAGAATTTAGCTCGCAGATTTTAGTTCCAAAAATATATTTTAGCATTTTGATTTTTGTTTACTTTATTTTGATATTTATTAGCCATTAGGCTCTGCTTCATGTCAAACTAAAGTAAAATAAAGGTAAAATTTAAATATTTTGTATTTTTGATAATAAACTCTTTTTAAAAAGCTATTGATAAGAACAAAAATGTTTTTAATTCATAATCCAGGGTGTTCCACTAATTACATGACAGAATATATACAGAGTGTCCCACTAATTACAAGATATACAGGGTGTCCCACTAATTACATGACAGCAGAAGACGACTTATTAAGATTTCAAAGTCAGAGACGAACTCAGCCAGAGGTGCCTTCAGGGTGGGGAACAACGTCCCCCTAGCCCCTGGAAAAATTAGGGTCTCAAGAATAGAGAGCATTGACTCCTTCTAGCCCTATAGAGAGCATGGACTCCTTCTAGCCCTATAGAGAGCATGAACTCCTTCTAGCCTTATAGAGAGCATGGACTCCTTCTAGTCCTTTAGTTTTGATTTTATTAATAGATTTTAAATGTTATGCCTACGGCGCCTATTTATCACTCTAAATGAAGATATATACAGGGTGATTAAAAATATAATAATGCGATGTTTTGTATGAAATTTTCTAAATTTTTGTTTGCTTCATATTTTAGGTATATAAAAATAATAATGTGACAAAAAATTCAAAAATATCTTTGAACCATTGAAAAAATATCAGCAAAACAATTTAATTGAAAAAAATATATTTTTAAAAATTTCATGATAAAATGTTTATTTTATTATTTTTCTTCAATTTAAGAAAATATTTATAAAAGAAATAATATTGACAATATAATCTGTAAAATTATACAGGGTGTCGCACAAAATCTGGCTATTTATTTATTTACAAGTAAAAAAAGATCTTTTTCGTCGTTTTTAAAAGATACAAGCATTTTTTCAAAATGCATAAATAATCTATGTTGACGTCCTTTAGTCGTCTCTCCAGATGTTCATGTATATTGTGACACCCTGTATATGTTGCACTATGGCACCGACCTATGGCGTGACGGCTAGGCTAGGCTATTAGTAAAGTACCGACCCGCCTTCAAATATTTCAAACCCAGGTCCTAGCTTTCAGGACACTAAAGTTCTAAACTAGTTTTCTATACATACAGTGCACTGTTAACTAGTTAGCTCTGAAAACAAGATTTTCCTAGTGCACATGTTTGGAAGTGCAAATCTTTACTTTTTGGCATCCAAATTCATTTTTTCTAAATTCTTTATCAATAAATAACCATGTTAAGAAAGATATTTAAATTTATACTTTTACGTATTCTTTGTTATTGATCTATCAGCTGTTCAGTTAGAAATTATACGCGCGTTTTATAAACAAGTAAATGCGCAATTTGTCATTTAGAGAAATGTTCAATATTTGTAAACGAAGTAGAGAAGGGGGTGGTTTTACTATTTATCTGACGTATTTTTATTAACAAATTTCTGTAGTTGATCATAGATAATTATTTATATATGATTATGAATCTTATTGTGAATTATATTAATCACAGTATAAATTGTTAACAGAAGCCATAATATAAAAATTTCAAAATAAAACACAACAGTTTAAACAGTTAAAAGTTTCATGCAATCAAAACATACCCGTTAACAGTTTTTATATCATTTTCAATTTCAGAGTTGGATTATTAAAGCAACAACTGCGAAATATAGATTTCTATAAAAGTGAATAAAAGTAATGGATAGTAAACAATATTCGTCAAATATTAACAACATGAATATCTACTCAAACAATGAAAGGTGAAATTTTAAATATTAAAAAAGTTTTAAAAAATTCAAATCTTTTGTCTTTCGGGATTAGCAATTTATCGCAAAAAGTACACAAGTAATAAGCAATATTTGCATGCTGGGTCACAGTCTCATATATAAATAGTTTTTTGAGAATTAAAAATAATTTATCTTTAGTTTGATCATGAACTATTTACTAAAAGCATGGTTTTAGACCTTTTGAGAGCTGGCTATGGGTATTTAGGAAAAGTGAGAAAATTTCAAAAGTCTCAGACCAGTACTTTTTGAGTTATGTAAAAAGACTAGTGGGGGTCAAATTACCCCCCCCCACCCCAGCAGGAATAGGGTTAATACGCCTTAAAGGGACTGTAAGCGTATTTTCAAGTCAATAAAATGCAAAGATGGCAAAGACCGATTCACAACCTTATATGTTTTGTCTGATCAAGCATGAATTAGATATAAATTTTCATAATTTTGAAAACTCATGATTTTCAATTTTAGTTTCTTTACAAAAGTGGCTTGCTCATTTCTTTTTTTTAAAAACGACAAACTCTTCAATATTATTGATCAGAAAGAGGTTTCAAGGGTACCGTTGTAAATCGGGCTTTGCCATTTTTGGCCTAGAGGGCCACTTGAAATTAAGCAGTCTCTTTAAGACATTTCTTTTTGTTATTTTTTATATAGTTTATCTACTTACATTTACATACAGGGTGTCCCACATAATATCAGATGGTTTATGGTTCTAAATTGCGATTTTCGGAAGTAATCAGAAAATTCAAAAAGAATGAAACATTTTATAAAATTGCATACGTCTTATCAAGCAAATCTCCCCCTTTGGTAAAAGTAAATTCAACCTATATGAAGCCTAAAGCCTGACCGCATCAACCTTGTTCGGTTAGTCCTGTCCATTGAGTTAGGTACAGTACAAACTGGGACCGAAAAATTGACCCGGCTCGGAAATTCAAATGTACTACGGCTGCCCGTGTAATATAAAAATTTGCATGCAGTAAACACTAGATTTTTCGAGTATAATGTGCGTAATTCAGTGTGATAATCCAATATGATATGGAATGTTCTGTACTTTCTTACGTACACAAATTATCCACCAGTCTATTGGATTATTTCCAATCTAAAGCTATAAATGATTTAATAAAAAATTGTGGTCTTTAATCATTTGATACTTTAGATCTTAGAGACAGTGTTGCTTGGTGGTTTAGCATTAATATTATATTTCTGGGCAAATCAGGTAATTTAATAGAACTAAATAAATAGCAAAGATTGAGGCGGAAAATTTTAAATTCATGAAAACAAATTAAATCGGTTCCATTGAGTTGAACTAATTTTCTCATATCTCTCATTGGTCAAAAGTTTGTAGTTTTGGCATATAAAAAATGATTTGGTTATTCGATTCTAAGGGTATTCTACAAAACAAGACAATTAAGTATTATTTTATATTCAGTATGCAAAGTGTAAATGATAATAAGGGGTTTAAACTTAAATTGAAATTTAAGTTGTTTTGATATATACTTTTCGTTTTATTTTGCGGTAAATATTTGGCTATCTGATAAAAAACGTATTTTTGGGAAATTTAACTTAATTAAAACAGACAGTTAAAGAAGTCTTTTCCACAATATGTAAATTTCTAAACCCTTTACCTTCGCAACCTGTTGGGTTAAGCCTTTTATATTTCAAACCTAGACTATTTGAGCCAATAGAATTCATTGTTTGAAATATCTAAGGTCTACGCCATCGGGTTGCAAAGATTTAGAATTAAACTCAGTTCCCAAATAAATTCTATTAAAGAAAATCTTGCGGCTTGGCGCTGGTCAGTCAGGTCCCTCTTCTCTACCTGTTAGCGGTCAAAGACAGATAATTGTCATTCTCTACTCCCTCATGCTGGGAATACAGGTGGGGATACAGGAGTAATACAGGGGGTATATAGGGGGATTATAGGTTGGAATACATTTGGGTTTACATGTGGAAGGAATAAAGGGGTATATAAGGGGAATGCAGTGGAATATATGTGGGGATACAGAGGGAATAAAGGGGTATGCAGGAGAATGAAGGGGTTATGGTGGAGGGGGAATACAGGGGTAATATTAAGTGAGAATGCAGGTGGGGATTCAGGGGGATTAATGTAGGTATGTTGGATGAATACAGTGGAAATATATGTGGGAATACAGGTGGGGATACAGAGGGAGTAAATGGGTATGTAGTGGAATACAGGGCGTATGTGAAGGAAATATAGGGGGATTTTAGGTGGGAATACACGTGGGGATTAATAGGGTATGTAGGGGGAATACAGGGAAATATATGTGGAAATACGTGTGGGGATACAAAGGGAATACAGGGGTATGTAGGAGGAATTCAGGGAAAATACATGTGGGTATACAGGTTGTACTGAGGGTATAAAGAGGTTTGTATAGGGATACGGGGGAAATAAAGGTGTATGTAGCGGGCACACAGAGGAATACATGTGGTAATACAGGAAAAATATAGGTTATGGGAAGAATATAATAATATTATCAATAGAAATCAAAATATAACCGATTGATTAATATTGCATTAAAGATGTGCACCACCAACAATTCACTTGAATTTTTAAAATTTAGAAATCTTAAGTAACTTTAAAATTTAGGATAACTTATAAAAAAGATGTGTGAAAAATGCGAAAAATAAAATCATCACAATTCTATTTGAACTATTTTTAGTTAGGATTTAAGTTTGCGACCAAATCCTTGATTTACATTCTTCAACCTTGTCACGTGGTGACCAGCCTTCAAGTTTTCCTCCTCGCCGCCCCGGTCAATCAGTACACAGCTAGATTATACAGGTATTTCATGCTGTAGAGTGCCATGTCCGATTGACAACGGTAACCTTTGTCTAATAAATAAAAGAATGAGATTTCCTTATTTTTCTAGATAAAAATTGAGTACTAAACGGAATGGAAGCTGAACACTTGAGTTTCCTGGCACTCAATTTTTAACTAAAGTTTCCTGACTCCAAGTTTTAGTCAGAAAAATAAGAATATTTCCGTAGTCGATGAATAGTCAAAAAAGTGATTATTTAGGATACAGTTGGGAGTACTTAATGGTGCATTGCTGGCGCTCATTTTTCCAGTGACAGATACATATTCTCTTCCATTTGAGGTCAGTCCAACTCCACAGATACATATTCTCTTCCATTTGAGATTAGTCCATCTCAAGGTTGTTTAATAAGCAGAGTTACTCTCAATGCGCTCCAATGTACGGGAAATATCGTCTCCTAATCATAGATAGACAACATCCTCATATGACGTGACTGATTATAGAGGCGAGAGTGACATCATATACGGATTTTATCTATCTATATTTAAAGACGACATTTCCCGTACATTGGGGCGCATCGAGACTCGAGAGTTACCTTATCATACAACCTTGGTGCAAATACTAATAGGCATCGGTTTAAGGTTCATTTTAAACTTGTGTAAGGTATTTGACTTTTCAAGGTTCAAAGTTTGCTTATAATTACATAAAACCCAAGTTTTTACTCTGGCTAAAGAGATCGATTAGGTTTAATATCTTAAACCAGAGAAAATAATTAGCTTTAAGTGATAAAAGCAAACTCTCATGTTGCTACTTTTTAAACACCTAGAAAAAACCTGAATTTATGAAACCGGTTCTAAAAACCTGAATGTATGAAACCGGATCTATAAACCTGAATGTATGAAACCGGACCTAAAAACCTGAATGTATGAAACCGGATCTAAAAACCTGAATGTATGAAACCGGACCTAAAAACCTGAATGTATGAAACCCACCTGAATGTATGTAACCGTACCTAAAAACCTGAATGTATGAAACCGGACTAAAAACCTGAATGTATGAAACCGGACCTAAAAACCTGAATGTATGAAACCGGACCTAAAAACCTGAATGTATGTAACCGTACCTAAAAACCTGAATGTATGAAACCGGACTTAAAAACCTGAATCTCTGAAACTGGACCTGAAAACCTGAATGTATGAAACCGGACCTAAAAACCTGAATGTATGAAACCAGACCTAAAAACCTAAATGTATGAAACCGCACCTAAAAACCTGAATGTATGAAACCAGACCTAAAAACCTGAATGTATGAAACCGGACCTAAAAACCTAAATGCATGAAACTGGATCTAAAAACCTGAATGTATGAAACCGGACCTAAACACCTGAATGTATGTAACCGTACCTAAAAACCTGAATGTATGAAACCGGACTTAAAAACCTGAATGTATGAAACTGGACCTGAAAACCTGAATGTATGAAACCGGACCTAAAAACCTGAATGTATGAAACCAGACCTAAAAACCTGAATATCCGAAACCGGATCTAAAAACCTGAATGAATGAAACAGGACCTGAAAACCTAAATGTATGAAACCGGACCTAAAAACCTGAATGTATGAAACCGGACCTAAACACCTGAATGTATGAAACCGGATCTAAAAACCTGAATGTATGAAACCGGACCTAAAAACCTGAATGCATGTAACCGGATCTAAAAACCTGAATGTATGAAACCGAACCTAAAAACCTGAATGTATGAAAGCGGACCTAAAACCTGAATATCTGAAACCGAACCCAAAAACCTGAATGTATGAAACCGGACCAGCTCAAAACTATGCCCATCCCTTGTATAAATAGTGCAGAGAGAAACACACATTTCTAGGACGCTTTGCGCCCCGTTTTTGATTGTTTCTCATGTAGGGGAACCCATTAAACAGTGAAATAAGAAGATGACACTTGTTACAAAATTTTGTTTACCAGTAGCTTGAAAATCAACTTGGTTAAATGGATCTATGTTAACTAAAATTAAAACTTGAGTCTGAAAGATGTCTTCCTATTCAACAGTAAATTGACATTTTTTTTCTTACAAAATTGAATTATTAAATTGACAAGCAAAATAATACTGTTAATTCAAGGAATTCAGGTTAACAGTGCAGTAAACCAATGTCGTCTTTTTATGGAAAACTAGAAATAATACAAGATTACCCACAAAGGATGAGACTTCAGAGACGATTGTACGGAATTGGTTTAGGGGACCTTGCAGGTCAAACTGGTCTATTGCTGTGCTTAATCATTTAGTTAACATCAAAATACAGAATTCAGAAACCAAAAATCCAGTTCTAAATCGTCATATTTATAGAATTTTGGGTCGTCTTTACAGTCTCATTCTTTTTGGGTATTCCTGTATACGCTTTATCCTTGCTAGATTGAGATGTATTGGATTCAACATTCAGTCATGCTTCTTGTTCCTTTCTACCTTTATAGACAGGGAGATCCTTTCTCAAATATATATACAGATAAGGTATATTCTATAGTTCCTCTCTATCCTTAATGTCCGATT